ACGGTTACGGAGTTAGACCGTTTTTCCATTCCCGTACACGCCCTCCTGTGAACCGCGTCTGTCAGCTGGCGGGTCGCTATTTTTAGCCAGCTACAGACAGAGCGTTCTCGTTATCTCGACACTTGAGAGGTACCTAAGGCGTGGTGGGGTGGTATGTACCCGCGCGGTTCACAACCGAGCGGCCGGCGGTGGCTTTTTCGAAAATCAGCTTTAAGCACCAATAAATTCAAATTAAAGGTAATTTCACGAAGTTAACTTTACATTCATACTTTAAATGTATCGTGTATTATGCTGGCTTATTATTTTGTTCCGTTTATTGTCAGTAATCGTTACCTTCTATTCTGAGTTTATAACGGTCATAACTCCGTAACCGTCCAAAATCGGACACATGTTTATATGAACTTTTTTGGTCACAGAGACCTAGGAAATCACCTCCTGCAGTTAAATCCTAAAGTCGTGAAACACCCTGCATAAAAATTGGTAAGGAAAGGCACCATTAAATTACAAGCATAAAATATAATAGAAACCTACGTCAAAATTAAAGTTCACTAGTAATTATGTTTTTAAATTATTATATCACAATGGAAGTCATTTTGCATGGGTTGGGGGGTGGGGACTTGAACATTTTTATTCACCCTGAGAGTGCCTGAAACTAAAATAATTTGGGAACCAGTTTTCAGTAACATCTGCAGGCCGTATAGCCTTATAAGTAATCTCACCTTTCATGACCATCTTCCCATCTGTGCTGACGGAATGAAGCATTTGTAGTTGAAATAGTGTCGTTAAATGTCCTAACAATTCATTTCATTGACCTATCTTCCCATCGCTTGTCTGCGCACTTGACTATAGACCCTATAAGCAACGGTTAGTCTTAGTCATCCGTTATTATGTCCCCATCACAGTCGACACTATAAGACGTCTGCAGTTGAAACAGCGTTCTTAAATAACACAAGAAATAATCCGGGGGTAACAGTTGGGAAGCGACTCTACGATGTTCCATGTTTGGTGTTTATGTTTTGGCAACACTGATTTGATTGAATATCTCATGAAATTTTCACAGAGTGTATGATTCAGTTAAAGATACAAATAGTATCAGCGGTCTAACTTTTGGCTTAGTTTGTACGTCTTATCGCTGTTTACTGTAGTGTGAAAACCATTCTATTTACTTGCTGCTGTCTGTTGCGGAAATTTTGCAACAATGTTGAGTAAATATGAAGACTGCAAACGCGTGAAGTCCTTGTGTCTCGCTTAAACAATTAAGAACTCTTCTCAGCTCTACATAAAATACTTCCGAACGAACAGAGAGAGCAATAAACGTTGTAAATTAGCATATTAAGCAGTGGATCTTATCGAGAAGGTTGACAATGCTGTAACATTGTAAGCTCTGTGGAATTGAGACTCTCTGGCGGCGACTATGAAGACACTATCTTCTGGGATATGTATTCGGGAAGTACCCGGTTGCAGTCTTGGCTATCTTAACTCAGGATTTTCGCGATTGTCCCATGTGTACGGAATCGAGTGGTGAGACAGTACCTGAACTAGGTGACTGCTTCGTCTCACATCCTTACTCTATGGTAAGTAGGTAACTGCTTCCCAGACATTACCGTCTGTCCTACTCATTTGGTTACACTGCACATCTTGTAGTTGAAATGTCATCGTTAAATAACGCAAGAATCAGTCGAACAGTCTGTAGTTATTAATTAAATTGGTCGTGAAAATTCGAAATTGATTGATTTAGCTCACGATAGGGTTCAGTGCAATTTAAATGAGATGAAGCTCTAAGCGTTCCTGTGATTGGTCCGTCTATTTATAGTGTCATGTGTATCCAGCAGAGGTACTTGTTTTTTGACGTGTTTCTTCCTGTTTACTTGTTTGTTAGATTTGTTTAGGCTGAAAGGGAACCTATTCCGGCTACAGTAATTTGGTAGGCGTCATTCTTTTCCGTTATATCAACTGTTTTCCTTGTTGTTTGCATATATAGGCATTGTAATGGAACGTATATTTCTTTCATGCTGCCCACTTGTTCAGTCTGTTGTCTTAATTAATTATTATATTGTCTAAATTGAACATTCGAAAGGCTACCTAGTTAGAATTTGCATTTAAATGTCAAGGAATTTTGTCGTTAGTTTATCTGTTATATGTCGCTTGTCTAATAGTCCCTGAAACGGCCGTCATTGGTTTCATGTCCTTATTAGTGTGTGTTTCTTCTTTAATTTTAGGAGTCTATGTGTCTGTCTGTAGCTGGTCAGTCTTACAAATCTATTTATTTCTGTAGTCGTTAAAATTGTCCCATTTAAATGAAACATTGAATGGCTCAGCATTTTTTGTTTTTTTTTTTTGTAATGTCCTCCAGTATTAAATGCAACAAAAGCCGGTGTATCTGTTCTCAAATTGCTTCATGCGTACAGAAAGACGGACGGACAGAGAGGTAGATGCTTCGTAAAGACGGGTTTACACTGAGGCAACCATTGACAACCGCGCCGCACGCGCTGCGATCGCACGCTGCAAGTTGTTCACTTGCAGGTAGTGGGTAGCGCAATCTCATGCGGCTTGCGTCCCGCGTCCTCTAGTTGCTCCAGGTCGCTAGTGGGTTCAGTTGCCTACTCGCATGCGGCGTGATGAGTTGGGACACGGATAGATACAAGTGTCTTATCGAAGAATACCGCGAAAAGAGCATTCTGAGGGATTTGCGGGATCCCAATTATAAAGACAATCGGAAGAAGTTGAAGCTATGGGAGGAATTAGCCACGAAGTTTGAATGTTCGGTGAAGGAAGCGAAAGAAAAGGTTAAATATCTCAGAACGACCTTCCACAGGTCGGATCTCTTGACGTTTTCTTTTCCTGCTCAAAATGAGATAAACCACAGCAGCAACTGTCTTCAGTGACATCTCTACACAAGCTGACGTACAAATCGAAGCAACCAGTCGCTGTGGGTGTAAATGAGGTCGGTCGCATGCGGCAGCGTTTGCTCCTGGCCGCATGCTGCTTGATAAATTGGGTGGCATAGTCGCCCGAGGAGGGCAACTAGGTTGCTTTAAGTTGCCCCAGCGTAAACCCGCCCTAAGGATAGGAACTCGCCTAAAACACTTTGACTTCAGATTCAGTGTTGCTAATCTCCTGGGATGGGACGCCGTATAGTCTTGTAGGTGGCTACGAACCTTTCGGAGGAACGTGCTGCCCCTGTCATCAGGGTAGAATATCTGGTAGATAAACGTTCATAAAACGGAGAATTAATGTAATTTCTCTTTCCTTTGACCACTACATGTTCCAATATGAGTGACCTATCTCAGAACTGAGAAGTCCTGTCGTCTGGGATGTAACTCCCTTTAGTCCTGTAGCAGTGGAATGACGTTTCGGAGGAACATACTTCCTATAGCTTCAGGGTCGAAGGATAGGCCAAGCAAGTAGCTAGCAAGAAACAAACCGAGCTTTACTTGCAGCATTGTTCCTCCTAAACGTCGGTGAGCTTCTACCAGGCAACACGGCGTTACATGCCATTTCATTGTCACTGTTGTGAGAATCTCAAATCCAACATACGGTATCTTTAGGATTCTTCGCTGATGTTTTACTGTCGGAATGTTGTGCTTCCCTTAAAGCTTCATTCCACAGTTTAGCGGAAGTGCACCTCGATAGAAAGTCTCAGCATATGAAGACAATTTCATGTTAATAATTCGTTTAAAAATTGTGTTTATAGACGTGAGAAGTCAAAGGGGTTAGATGTCTAGTTCCTCCGAGAGTTGATCAGATATTTTCTGGCATGTTCTGAACTCACTCAGATGATAGCATTACGTGCCCATTGTATGCCCTTCAGTGGGTGGTCGCCGAAGTCATGGCATAATGACACTCAATTGCTGCAGCTCCCATCCGCGTGTGCTAGTACTGTAGTCTGTGCGTAAAGAAAATAGGAGATCATGAACTTGTGGAACATATATTATTTCTGACGTAAATAACATGTTCTAAGCATGAATCCAACCAGTTTTATTCCTAGAGAACGAGTGACTTGTTTTACTTATCGATGCTATGGCTGCTGGAAAAGTTATATGTATTTGAATGATAAATGTGATAATTGTGTTTTGGCAACGGCGTTCTTGTAGGCAGTGCAGGCGCGACAGCACAGGCAAAACCAGCGACCACTTGGGGCGCACAACACATAGTCCCACTATCTTTCCTCTCTTCTTGTTAAATGGAGAATAATCTCTGCTACTATTCTGTTCATGTCGTGATCGTTGATTGGAACAATCTAATCATGTTATGCAGCAATATAAATGTAATTTTAAAATGCAAATTCTGACATTGTTGTCTACAAGAGTAATCTTGTATTTCTGCAACAGTATTTTTCACCCTTAATTTAAGGGTTATTACACCAATGGCGATTTTCATCACAGTGCCTGGGAATTTAATTTATTAACTACAATGAATTTATGAGAAAATTGTGCTGTTTTTACGTGGTAGTTGAGGGGGTCAGAATTTTTGTAGCACAGGGCATCATTTATTTTTGCTCTAGCCCTGCTTCTAGGCTGTGACATGTGTTTCCTGTGAGGTATGAAATGAAATTTTATGTTATTTAGAAAAACTCAGCCTTTAAAGCATTAATACACTAGCAGATTTTCAATGACTGTAATTTCACATGAATTAGATAGTAGTTGCTTATGAGTCACTTTCACGAATTGCTTACAGTGGATGCATAGTGGAGAAGTTATGTCAGTCAATTTGCATGCTTGACCCCAGTTCCCACAACATATTTTGTTGACATTTGGTATTGTAGTTCTACATTCAGATGTGTGGATCTAATTTTATTTGGGTTCATATCGGTACAATATAACACATACTTTACAGGAACCAGAAATTGTCTCTTATTGTATTTGTCAAAAATTATTTTGTGCATGAAGTGAAGACTTATAACTTCTGTGTTAAAACAGGTGTAGATATATTGAATAAGAAAGCAATTATTTGTCTGTGTAGCGAAACATGTGGCTGACAAACTTCTCTGCTTGTTTCAGGATGGGGATTTTATGAATGTTGACCGCAGCACAGACTGGATTTGGGATTGGAGCAGTCGACCAGACCAGGCACCACCAAAGTAAGTCATATGCATCTTCAAGGAAACAAAGAAATATGAAGAAATAAATACATTTTGAGAAAAATCAGAACATTAATCTATTTATTCAGAAAATACAATGCAGTAGGAACAAAAAGAATAGGCTTGCACATGGTTTTTGGTGAATGGATTATATTTCACACTGATGCTGATGATATGTAAGTTGAGAACTTTACACGTCTATGTGTTACAGTAAAGCCAAGTAATTGGTAATTATGAACAATAATAGATAGTTTTATAGAATTACTAAAAACAGTGGTAAATATGATCAGTCTCGTGATAGTAATCACTTATCATTCATAATTACCAAGTCCACACAATTTGGGAACTGCTGCTATATGTGTGCAGTTCTCATCACACATGCATGTTACCTATCTCACCTATCTCATTCTTCTTGATGCGAGCACCCAAATCATATGCATGAAAAGTAAAATTGTGGAGGCCCTCATTACATAATTTCCCCTAGTCTCCTATTATTTCATCCCTCTTAGAACTTAGAACACACTTTTTAGAAATGCCTCTCACTCACTCACTCACTCACTCATGGAGCTAAGCCCTAAGCTATATATTAAGATTTTCTCATGCATCCTGTTAATGACACATTACTCATTTGTGCTGATGTGTGCCATTAAGTTCCAGTTCCTCCTAATTTTCTTGGTTCTTCTTAAAGGTGTATTTTAGAGCAAGGTTGAAAAGCAATGATGGCCAGACCATTCTGAATAGGAAATTCTTCAGACAATTATTTACCCACACAGACTTTACTATAAGTGTTTTTTCAATACAATTAGCGTAACTAGTTCCACGGGTATGTGTACCAAATTCAGTGACACTTTCGTACGGTACTTCTACTCAAACTGAGTCATAGGATTTCTTGCAACTGATAAACAGCTGGCGTACAATCTCCATATACCCCAACTTTTCTGCTGTATCTAAGGATCCAAAAATGTCAGACCAGTAGTTGATTTATTGCATTGAAATCCACACTGATGATCCCCAATAATTTTGTTCATCCACAGAGATACTGGATTTTTGGACTTTGTCCATCATCCGGATTCTAAATAACTAAGAAAAAACACGTTTGAGAAACTGGATCTGTTTCCATCCTCAGGTGAGGGTAGACACCTGCTCTGTTGGGTCCCTTAGAAAGAGCTAACCTCAATTACTGAACCTGAGGATGGAAACTTTTTGCCTTCTGCTTGTATCAGTTTCTGCCAGAATTTGATCTGTACTTGGCAATTTATACTTTTCCAGTGTTTCAGCAGCAGTTTGAACCTCAGAAGAACTAGACTCGGGTACAAAGGCTTAGCTGTACATATTTCAATATTCTAATATTGGTAGTTCCATTCATAGTAGCTGCCTGAAATAATTTTTCACCTATTAAAAATATTGTGGGTATCTCCATGTACATTACAATTCCCAATTTTTCACAAGTTCTAGGTTTCCAGCACTTATACAAGTCTCTCTTATTTTTAGTCATACTATTGATTGCAAGCTCATTGATGTTGTCATTCAGAAATTCCTTTTCTCATTTGTGGAAGTTCTACTGATGTTGCAGACATGCTATTGTATTTGATAGTTCGAAAGATTATTATATTCACTGATGTACAGAAGCAAAACAAAATCTAACCACCACCATTATGAAGGAAGGAATTTCTGGCTTGCAGGCATCCACCAATAGACAGTGTACACTTGTGATATTACATGGCAACAAACAACTAGTTTCATGATTGACTTTATTCTGATCATTTTCATTCATTTGGTTTGATTTTGCAGCCATTATATTTGAAGCTATATTCTTTGTTCTAATTATTTTGAGCATTTCTCTGATAAAATAAACTTTACTCCAGGGACTGGAAATTCAAGCATCCTAAGAGGAAAACCTACAGTATTCGCCATGCTAAAGTGGGAAAGAACAGCCTGTTTTCCAAAGAAGTGCTGTATACACTCTTCCTCACAAACTTCATTTCACTCCTCCTTGGGACTGGAGTTGGGTAAGAAAACTGAACTGTTTACAGTATATATAGTGAACAGCAAATATGTAATATGGCAACAGTGTAAGGTAAAAAGGCAAAATTGTTTAAGTATTTAAGCACTATGCCATGAAAATGTATGGGGGAGTGGATGTACAGATCCATGTTTTCTTGACCTCGGCACTAGTTGGAGGTGAGTGGTCAGCTTAATGCCTTGGCTGCTTTACCCTCGGGGAAAGAGCCCCCAGTACTCATTGGACAGGTGGTTGAGTGGGCCTCAGTGCTGGTCTGGAGGACATGGAGAAGTGAAAATTCTTGCTGCATCGGGACCCAAACTCTGACCCTTCAGTCATCCAGCCCATAGGCAGTCGCTATGCTGACTGCGCTATAGCAACAGTGTATGTAACATAATATATGTAATAAAATTCCTCCCCAAAAGAAGTAAATTGCCTTATGTTACTCTTGATACAGTCACTTGGTAGTTCCGAAGTTCTGTCATTGTGAAGCAAAAATTCATAATATTAATCCCTTTGTGGCCAAATTATTTCCACTAAAATAGTACCAAAGTGGCACACATGCACAGTACATATATGCAGTTCCATAAACATAACACCAGAAAATTGAAGTGAGAGATGGGTTTACCTTTGAATATAGATGGGCAAGAGAGATACAAATTTGAGTAACTGGCCAGTGGCCAGATGTAGGGGAATATAAAAATAAGAGAGTAAAAGATGATGACAGGTCTCGTTGCTTGGTGAAGGCGTGTTTTCTCTTTGGTAAATTCATAATTTAATGTAATTTGTTTTTGATTTATTCACTTGTATATATGTTCAAAGTCTTAGAAAATTTTGGCATGTTTGTAACTCTCAGTATGTTTTTTTTATGTAATAAAAGTCCATCCACTGTTGTTGATACATTAGTACCTTTAGATTGTAAAGGGTTCAGAAGATGGTATAACACCCAGATTACTGGGTTTTTGGACTTTATCCATCATCTGGTATTCTAAAAACAAGAGAACATAACGTTTCCAAAATGTTGTGTTGTCTAGTTTTTAGAATACTGGATGATGGACAAAGTCCAAAAACACAACAATTCTGAATTAATACCTCATTCAAAAGATTTATTCATATTTCCATTAAATGGGTTTTATGCTCTGTTACAGTTACAGTGTTTCAAAAGAGAAAAAACATGTTAATTATTTATTGAATTCACTTGAAAATATAGTACACAGTAATTAAGATAAGATTGGAACTTCTTGTTCATTTTGTCTTATAATTCTGTTCTGTCTGCAGGGTTTGGTTGACTCGGAGAGGAATGTATCTGCCACGGATTAACTTTGAATGACTCTTCAGTCAGTCACTCAGCAAGCTAAAACCAGGTTGGCATCAGTGACTGGCTCATTCAAGGCTGAATACAGTCACAAGATAGAAGACTGATCAAAGGCTTTTGTGGGGATTCAAACGAGATAGGAAAAGCCTCATCCTTATTAAAGGCTTATGGTCAAAAACACTCTTCATATATGTTTCATAGGTATTTACTGACTGGTACAGTTAGAACCTGCATGGGTTCTGTGCCAGGTTGGGTTTTCTTTTTTACATAATCTTATACACTCACAATTGCAGTGAAACTGGTAATATTTATATCTAAAGTATGAAATCACAGCATTGGTTCTGACCTGACTTAACAATGAACAGATTTTTGTAATGAAGCAAACACTAAAGACTCAGTGCTAGCAGATTCTGCAAGAGGTTCTAAAATGCTATAAAATCAATAAGATTTTGAACTCTGGGTAAGCAAGTACTTTTATGATCTTTATGTTCTTTTCCATCTTGGGCTGTGCTTTGAATGTCAGTGCATGGGGATGCAAACTGACTTCATCTTTCTCATTGCATTTATGTCCTGGATTTTCTGAGTTCACTTCATCCTCTGTGCATCATGTCTGCAGATTCTTAAAGACATATTTATGTGTGGGAGGAAAGGGGGAGCAGAACCCCAAACTTAGGATGATGATGAAAAACGCACAAGACATCCATGTTCCAGGTTGCTTGCTGCTTTATACAGACAGCCAGTAGGATCAGTGCACTAATACATATCATTGCAAATTTAATTCTGTCACTGCTTTTATGAAGCATTAATGCACAATATATCAACCTGAGTCTGTAGTGTTTTAATATAAAAAGGTGATACTTTTTTAGTCTTTTAATAAATACATATAAATTTACTTTCATAATAGTTTGGGTAAAATGTTTCCACTTATAATCTTGTTGCCCTTATAGACCTCTGCCCACTGAGTATGGTGATGGACCATTGATTTTGATGGTACTAATGCGACTGATTGCCAAGATTAATTTGTAGGTACTAAATACTGTGTCATACCATATGGTATTCTCTATATTTTCAAAGGCTAAGATTAGGCAGAGTTTAAGGTTTTGACCAGTGCGTGGAGAAATCTGCACACATGTAATCAATTATGAAATCTGGAAATCTCTGATTTAAGTAAACTTTCTTATCTTGAGACCACTAGCTCCCAGGTAGCAGCAAATGTGTTGTTTTTTTTTTGTTCAGTTTTACATATTTACCCATTTGGTCTTGGTATTCATTTGGTGCATATCAAGTTTTACAGCTGATAATGTATTGCCACACGTTAGTGACTAGACACTGGGGCTGGATTGATAATTAGATTTATTTCATGGCAAATCACTTTATAAGGACCTTATTGCATGCACTTCATAAATATACTTTTCCTGTACAGCATGATGAAGATATATGAAATAAATATTTTACAGTTTTCTTTGCATGCTCTGCGTTTTTGTGATCCATACCAATTGTTGTAAAAGTAGCTGTTTTTGAGGAATAAAATAATAAAGTCAGGTTATACCTTACTTATGAGTACTTGGTACTTGCATTAGACTGATGAAGACCAAAATTAAATTTGTCTCACAAATTTCAGTTTGAATTCTCAGTATTAGAGTTCATTGATATTCTTAAATGGTATTGCAAATGAAATGTGCAGTCATGGACATGGCTTACCATACATTCCCTTGTATATATTTTCTGTGGAGAACTTATAATAATGGTTCATTGTACCCGAATTATTGATTTTGTTCAAAGTTCGTACTATTAATGCACTAATATTGTTGGCAGCCTATTTCGTTTACAAAGTTCACAGAGGATAAGGTACAAAAACTGTAATTTCCTTTCTTGGCTTATCTTGTCAGCAAGTCTGTCAGAAAACTATATTAAAACCAAAAGATGATCCTAGTGCAAGCAGAATATTTTAACAATTATAAAGAGGGAGCTTGGATAGCTTACTTGATATAATGGCTAGGCTGGACAATGAAGGAATCATTTTATCGCCACCAAGGACATGATTCTTCTCTTCAACACAGCAGCCAGACCAACTCTGAAACCCATCCAGTCTCTTGCCTAGTAGGTACCAATGGCTTTCCCAGGGAGTAAAGTGGCTGGGGTGTTAAGCTGATCACTGACCTCCCTGTATTGCTGAGATTAAAAATGTGTGGAGCTATATTTCCACTCCCCCACCCACCTTCATGGTGTAGTGCTTAATTAAGACAGGGACAACTTTACCTTTTGCCTTGCACCCATAAGATACGAGTATTTGTTCTCCATACTTTTGGGTCATATTGCATGATGTAATATTCCAAAGTTAACCAGTGCTGTGATTTTATTCATTTATAATAGCGTTTAATTTAGACCCCTTATTCTTATACTGCTTTATGGTATGTAGAAAATTAGTGATGTAATGAATAAAGTTTACTTCTTGTACTAGATACTTCCATTGTTTTGTTATACGACAGAGGGGAGAATTTGAAGAATCAGTTTTATGTATACTGTTTGTAAGTTTATTTTAAGCTGAACATATGTTGTCCTCACATTATTCAGATCTGTAAAATGTGCAAGGACACAGGACCACAGTGTACGAGTAAGTCAGTTCTGATTACCTGATTAGTAACATCTGACCCAAGGCATGTATGACTTGAAATTTCCTAATGGATTCTTGCATAACAAGAAGGTACATATTAGGGAATATGATTTTAAGGTTAAGCCCTATTTCATCACCCAGTTAACTTCATTATAAATTAGGTTTTATGTTAACCTCAAGACTCCTTATAAGTAAAGTACCAGATATGTTGTGTAATTCCCTGAAGACCTTCATATGGGTCCATAAATATGGGAAGATCCATGCATGCAAGTAGTTTAACATGGGAACACATATATTTACATTCAAAGATTAAATATTTGCTATTTTTATAAATTTAAAAACAGAAGAGTATTATCTTCTTTGATGTAATGTTGAGTAGTAGATTTTCACAAATGTTTCAGAAGAACATCAGTGAACTTCTACCAGACTACTAAGTATTACATCCCAGAAGATTATATTCCCTAGTGTGAGAACCTGTAATCCAACAATTTAAAAGCTAGTCATTAACAATATGAATATCCCACACATGGAAACAGAATGCACTGAAGTACTGCACAGAGTTTGAAAACTGTTAAATCTGTTTTAGGAAGCAAAGGATTCATGACAGATAAATTTACTATATCACTCAGCAAAGAAAGAGTGTTACAATTGATACTTTTAATAATGCTTAAGAAACCAGATTTGTAAAGTACAAAGTCTTATTTCTCCAGAAGTTGCACACATAAAACTGCATGCAGTTTCAATAACCTGGAATTTAAAGATTAATATTTTCACTGTATTAGGTACTTCCATTTTCCAGCAACAAAAATTCTCTATCCATTAAAATTATATCAATATTTGATCTTGTGAACAACCAAGTACTGCTTCACTGTGATGTTGGGATGAGAACAGCCTCTTCAGCATGGCACAATCATAAGCCTTAAAACGGGAGATCATATGCCCTCATTACGACACATTTAGCACCACACTTGAGCCAACTTTAGAAGCATGTTTACTGAAGAATATCTGAAGAAATCTTTAAACTGAAACAATATCGTATCAGTGGCATGGCTGCAGTGAAGGACTATAACCAGTACTCTAAAAGGAAACTGGATCAGAGAGATTATTCATTGGTTATATATTCATGGAAAGGGAAGGGAATTATACATTATTCTTTTGGTTTTCATAATGGAATGGTGTTCTGTTCATGGAAACACTATATGGTAACAGTTAATGGAACACGATATTACAGAGAGAGGTCAATATTTGGATATTGAATTAGTATTAGTGGTAGGCTGCTGGCAATGCTGTAAATGGAAAAGTAATTTGTAGATAGTCCCTTCCCCTCTCCAAATATAAAGCCTAATAAAATATGGACAGCTCTGGAGTGAGGCGTTCATGCTGCTGTAAGTGTAATTGCAATACCATATTATATAACTGTCTTAACAGCAATAAAAATTAATAATATTTAGTCCTGAGTTCACCTCCTAATAAGCCTGGGGTTAAAATACTTTTTAGGTACATCTTTCTATAAGCTAATAAACATGTCTGTATATACATGCAATCCCAAGAGTCGTGGGCTGTAGGAGATCTTTGTTATTTGGAAAAATACAGAAAATTGTTGCAAATCATGTGTTTCCAGTCTCAAAGTGTTGCAATATTTTACCTACGTTGAGCCATTACAGTGCTACACTTTCTACTTATCAGTAGCAAGAAGTTATGGTGATGTTGCCAAGGTGACATGATAGTGAAAATGGGGATATATTTCCAGGGCAGGGGAAGCAGTAGTGAAAGAGAGGCACATACAACATGAAACAGGAAGAGTGAATGAAGTCATAGTATTTTAGCATACTCATACATGAACAACTCATTACAGTTTTCTGTATTTTGCTAGATTAGCCTCAGACTTTTGGTGTACTCTGTATACAAAGAAAATTGTGCACACCCGCACACTGCTTCCCCTTCCCTCAGTAAACACAGGCACTACCATCATTCTCGGTTTTAGCATTATTTATCAATATGTATACCGGCTGAAAAGAGCATTTTGTGTGTGTAGATACGTATATATACATATATACAGGGTGTTTCACGACTTTAGGGCATAACTGCAGGAGATGATTTCCTAGGTCTTTGTGATCAAAAAAGTTCATATAATCATGTGTCCGATTTTGGATGGTTACGGAGTTATGACCGTTTTAAACTCAGAATAGAAGGTAACAATTACCGACAATAAACGGAACAAAATAATAAACCAGCATAATACATGATACATTTAAAGTATGAATGTAAAGTTAACTTCGTGAAATTACCTTTAATTTGAATTGATTGGTGCTTAAGGATGATTTTCGAAAATGCCACTGCCGGCCGCAACACAGGCTGCCGCTCGGTTGTGAACCGCGCGGGGAGCAGGTAGCAGCTTCAGCTGGCTGTTTCTTATGTGGTCAGCAGCGTCCAGAATGTGACCGAGCAAAGCATCTCGCGTTGCCCCCTTCACATTGTAAACCAGTTCTTTCATCCATCCCCACACACAATAATCCAGTGGGCTTAAGTCTGGAGACCTGGCTGGCAATTCTTCGTGTACTCGTACGTGGACTGCGGTGCACCATACGAACAATGCCTTCTTCAGTGACACCTTCATTAACACCATGCTCGGCTGCAATATGAACACTGGGACGTCTACTGGTATCTCGCAATGCCTAGTAAACTCCAGTAAACACTCTCTGGTTTGGTATTCTACGATTTGGAAACCGTTGCTGATATTCAGCTACGGCAAGAACTGAGTTACTGTCACAAAACCCATACACATAAATCATATCTGCATACTCCTCAAATGAAAATGTAAATGGCATCATGAACATAACAGACGCACCAATATGAGAACTGTTCTGAACACCAGTAGCCGCCACACTAGACGTGGCTGGACATACCAACCCACCACTCCTTAGATATCTCTCAAGTGCTGAGAAAACGAGAATGCTCTGTCTGTAGCTGGCTAAAAATAGTAACCTGCCAGATGATAGACACGGTTCACACGAGGGCGTGTACGGGAATGCAAAAATGGTCATAACTCCGTAACTGTCAAAATGTTTATATTAACTTTTTTGATCACAAAGACCTAGGAAATCACCTCCTGCAGTTATGCAGTTGTGAAACACCCTGTATATGCATTTAGGCTCCAGTATCCATGACTGTTAATGTAGGGCACTTTCCATTGTCATGGGCTCTAATCTTACTTAGCACATGGGATATTCATGTGTGTGTTCTGGTGTAGTAATAGGCCACAAACTGGTTGCTCGAGAATAGATTCCTACATTCATACTGTTGGGAGAAAATTCAACATGAATAACATAAATGCAACAGTTCTTCACCTGCATGTGCTGATAACTGAAAATATCAAGTAACTATGATTCCGCAATTGTATCCAGTTTTCCAGCCACTGTATGTGGTTTTATGTGTCCTTGATTTTGTGCTTACCATATACCTGTCACTTCTGCGTCTACATATGTGCACATCAAACATAGTGCACCATTAATGCTATATCCATTTCATTTGTGTGAAATGGAGAACAGCAACAAAAGAACTGAATCATACTGGAGTTTGAAATGATACCGCTAGAACATCTTTTGTCAAAAATAGTCTAGACCCCATGCATTTTTAATAATCTGATTCTACTGATATCAGTAAGTCATTTTTAGACGTAGAGATAATAGATATCACTAATATAGCATCATTATGGATCACAGGTTAATTCCATAAAGTCTGGACTCTCACTTTCCATATAATTAATTTTTATAGATACAGACATTGCTGATCACAGTGGCTGTGCTGTCTAAAGCATGAACTGTCTTCACCTACTTGAACACTGGGATTGTGGGTTTGAATCCCACTTGAGACACGGATGTCTCTGTGTGTGTGTGTTTATTCTGTTTGTGTAGGTAGCAACCTTCCAACATGGCTGACCCTCTGTCCAAGGAGTCCTACCAACTGTGTATAGCAGTGGTTCTCAAACTTTTTACCTCTGAGCCTCCCCTGAGAAGAGAAAATACTCTCAGGCCCCCAGCCTGTTTTCTTTTTATCAAAATAGAAGTCAAGGTATGTTTGACATTTCATTCAGTTTATTTTGTGTTTTTCTACATACTATTTAGCAGTTCTCTTACTCAAAATTAAAGTATCACAATACTAGGCCTACAATAAAAATTAGTTTTAACACTTGCAATTAACCAAAATATGTACTGAAATGAAACGATATTTAACTAACAAGTATTTATTTTTTTTTTCTGCAAAGAGAATCAAACATTTAAATGTCAAAGTTCAGTGTGATGGATGGGCCTGCTTTTGAGAACAAAGTTTATCAAAACGTGGTGTAATATCAGAAATGGCCACTGTAACTTCTTTAGCAATATTTAGCCTTGAACGATACTTTGACTTTATAGCTGCCAAAGCAGAAAAGCCTGTCTCGCATAAGTAAGTTGTTGTGAAAGGAATCATGATTTTCAAGGCTTTTTGGCTCCAAGTTTGGAATTCCTTGCCAATATGTATCCAGAACTCCAGCAAAGACAATTCCTTAAATTTACTTTTTAATGAAGTATCACTAGTGAGATCAATGAGTTGTTCTTGCTCATTTACATTCAGAGATGATGGCCCACGAGCATTTAGAATGGCTTTTTAATCCAATTAAATTTATCAAAATCATTGTAAAAGCATCTTTCGAAATGAACTTTTGACATTATGAGATGATCAAGTATGCAGCTTTTTATGTCCATTGGAAGCACTGAATTATCAGTGTCTTGTACCATTGACACCAGAATAGGGAATATGTCTAGCGTGTCACTTTCCATACTGTTCCTCCAGAGCTCTTAATTTTCTCATGAATGCCTTCACTTTGTCATTCCAAGAAAGTACAGTTGCCTCATTCCCTTGAAGTGAAGTGTTGAGGATATTTAGTTTCTCAAATATATCTGTGAGGTAAGCCATTTTCAATAAAAAATCCTTGTTGCTGAAACTGTCTGCCAGTGAGTGATTTTCCCCATTTAAAACACAGAACACCTCATGCCTCAGCTTAAACATTCTCTTTAATACCTTGCCTCTTGAAAGCCATCAAGCATCACTAAAAAACAACAGAGCAGTGTGTTTGGCACCCATTCCCTCACACAGCATTTTAAAAAGTCTTAGACTTCAGAGGATTTCAGAGGTTGCGGCTGCTGCCGAACTATCACAGCTGTCTGTGGCATATGCGTTTTATAATTGCCGGTAAAGAGAATAATTATTAGTTATTTTCAAATTCATAATAATTAAAGCCTGTACTCATCAAAAGTTTTTCTATATGTATTTCTATTTTTTGCTACTTTTCTAATTGATTTAGGGCAGTTTTAATTTTATATCTGTAGGAAAGTATGCTGTGCCCCCCCCTGGGGGTCATGCCCCACAGTTTGAGAACCACTGGTGTATAGGCTTAAGAAACTGAAAAAGCAGCAAAGGTTCAAAGAGCTGTAGAGCCGTAGGGAGGAGGGAAGAGAGAGAGATCACTAATATAGAGACATGTCATTACAGATCACAATTCCAGTTCATAAAGAAATGGTATTAACCCCACATGTTCGAGATAATGCACTTTTGTGGGTATTAATAATACTTTGCTTTCATTATGGGTGAGTTCAGTCTCTCACTGATGAGTGAAAATTGCATTTATTGTAAAATAAAAGTGCAAGTATATGGCTTTATAGCTGAATTTGGCACAACATTTATGGATCACAGACACATTTTCTAATTCTCTACTGCGCTGATTGTCATACCATAACTTTATCTGTATAATGGGTGCTTTTGGTTATTGACTTTGCAGTAAATAAGAGTACTTTATGTTGTATCACTGTAGGCATCTCCTGTATCCTGCTGATATGACTGTATTGCACATTCTGCCTTGCCATGTTGAATTATTTTAAAAAATTTGAATGTACTGTATACATTGCCAGTATCATCATCATCATACGGTTAGATCATTAAGGCCTGTCTTACAAATCCCAAGGTAGCCTTGGCCTCTCCATCTTCATTTTGGTTATCTTATCTGTTATTTTTTCGAAATGCTTTTTTTTTTCAGTTTTGTTGGTATCCTTGTACCTCTTTAAGTATATCTGTAAGTTTCAGTCATTTTGTCATGTCACAGTTTCTTTGATGGTCATCTATTGAAGCCTTGTAGCAGTCTGTAAACATGCATTTGTATTACCTATAATTTTTGGAATTCCTTTTGGTTTCCCTGTTAACTGTTATTAACCTTGGCCAGTGCTTTTCTTCAGCTGGTATAGATCCCACCTAATGATGTGTACTGGCCAACATGTCAGAAGTCACAAATCTACTAGTGCACTGTATGTTTCAACCTTGAAACTACAACCAAGCATTAGAATACTGCAAACGTGTCTTTATATGGATGAGCTCTGACTACTTTCTATTCATTTTGGTTGGTTGATGTGTATGTGTGTGTGTGAATGTGCATGCAATGTGTAGCCATCTGTCTTAAACTTTTTTTTTTCTGTTTGTCCCTTATGTTTGCCAAAATGAAGTGAACATTAAAATATACTTGTGTGATTAAACCCTCTGTTTGCGCATCTCCAGACTTGGTTTCTCACTCTAATGGAAGATCGGATATTTAAGTAATCTGAGAAAAGAATACTGAGGAGACTATTTGGAATACATAATGAGAAAGTTTGTGGCATTTATTTTTTTTGTTTCGAGGTTTGAGGTTCTCATAACAATGACTATGAAGATATTATTTAAAGGGATGTAATGCCATGTAGCCTGGTACACTGCTGCCAAAGATCTACTAGACTACATTGTGTCCTCTCTGGGAAGGTATAGTCTTCATTTTTCCATTCAATATTATTAATGAAAGTAAATCACAGGGTGAAATGGGCTGGTTCTGGAACATGAAATGCATAATACAGTTGTAATAGAGGAACATCATGGTATGTACTAACACCGCTCTTTTCCTACCCGCCTTTGTTTGTATCAGCGCAGTCGGAATGGTGCTATCCGTGCTACACCTGTTTCTACCTTACGACAGTGTATGATGGCTACTGGAAGTTGTCCTCACAGATCAAACTAAGGAAGATCGGTATAGGTGCGGGAAACTAGCTGGGTCGGTTTGCATGGGTATCAGGGTAGCGATGCCGAAGAAAGCGTTTTTCTGAGAGTTGAGCCAATTGACGTTTATTCACCTGCTAATTCACCACACTGTTAAATTAATGTATTCTTAGCTTTAAGTTACAGCGTTACACTATCGGCTAGCTATGTCTTGGAGCGTGCAAGGGTCACGTCCGTTCAGTTTGGAATATTGTGAAAGTCTCTCCTTTTGTGGAATGGCTTGCACCCCCATGCCGGGAATTTGAAAGATGGTGTTGACATATACATTTCATCCCATCTTCCGTGGGAAGCTTGAACGAGGCAACCCAATCATATTGGCCCTCATTCACAGGTAACTGTAACAAGCTCTGACCTGTCCTTTTAGGTGCGTCCGGTTCCCTGTACCCGAGCTAAATTTATGACTGATCGTAAATGTCATAACTCCGGACTTCTTGTTTCTGCCAGAATCTAGAAAATTTCAACATAAACACCGTATTGCACGTCCCAGACAGTGAAATACGATATTAAAGATCACAATACATTTCCAGTAATATCGAAACATAAGACTTTTGAAATTAAAATTACCGAGAATTAATTAGAAATAAATTTCATGGTCATCTATAATCATCCAATTAAATAAGGGCTCAGAATGATCAGCGTCAGTACCATATCAGTGATGAGATGAACTAAAGCCAGGGGGATAATATTAACACAGATCTTGGAGAAACAGGCTGTAAATATATTAAATATTTTAATTAGATTAGAGCAATATGGAGCAGCGGACTTTTACGGAGATAGATACAGACATTTAGTACGTACAATGCTAAGTGAGGGTGATTCAAATGAAAACATAACTTTGTTACAATATACATTTAAACCATGCACCATTGATGCCACTCTGGTACAGATTTTTTTTTGCAAAGTATGCAATATTGGACCATGCATTCCTTTTTATTTTGATACCAGGGTATTAGTTTCTCAAGGGTTGTCTCCCTGTGACACAACCCTCAGGATATTCTCTTTCTTTTGACCTGTGATAAGTCTGACATTGTAACTAAGTTATCTTCTAAGCGGCCTCCGTAGTCTAGGGGTAACGTTCCCACCTCACAACTAAAGGTACGCAGGTTCAAAAACCCGGCGGAGGTCGTGGAATTTTTAAGGGCGGAAAAATTCAGGGAACAAGTCCTCCGGGAGGGACTTTAAGCTGTGGGTCCCGTGTTGTAGATTTACGGCATGTAAAAGAACCTCGTGTCTCTAGGAGACCTCTGAGCAAAATTACACCAAGTTTCCCGCCCAACTAGTTTCCAATTCCTCCGGTAGATGGGGGAAGTATCAGGTACCACTGCCAGAGGAGGGGGGACCTCTCTGACAGAAAGGAACTAAAGTATTAGATACCACTGCCAAGTAGAGGGTAGAAACCTTGCTGGCAGAAAGGGACTAGGAACCCCTGCCAGAGGAGGGACGACCTCGCTGACAGAAAGGGACTAACTATTAGATACCACTGCCAGTAAGAGGTTGGAACCTCGCTGGCAGAAANTGGTCTCAGTGCATGGGGAAACCCACCTCCTCAATATGGAAGTTATCTTCTATCATGAAGATGGAGGCACTGGTATCAGTGAATCACATTGCATGGTGTCACATTCCTGAAGACGGTAACTGTTGTAGTCAGCACCATGAGAACATCAGATCTCATGGAACAAGTGAAGTGACAGGCTGTACAGTAAATTACCATTACATTCAGAATCACATGGGGACTGACTCAGCCTCTATCCAAAGGATATGGGTGCCATTCCTGGCTGTAAATTTGCTCAAGGAATGGAGCACACACTCACCTCCATCTTGTAGAATGGATGAGACTGGATGGAGCTTTACCACATGCCTTTATTATATGGAACTTAAGGACTGACATAACAAACTTCTGTATGAACCAAGATGACAGTGGGTGTTAGAACTTTTGTAAATTTCTGAAAAGCAGGGTAGCAGAGCAAGGAATGTGGCCTATTTTAAGATGTCTTCATAAGAAGGAACCGGAGAAAACCATAAAACTGCAGTGAAACAATGTGATGCCAGATTTTTTTGCTTGAAATGTACTCATTATAGCTACTGAGATTGTAGCCTATATCCATATTTCCTTGATATACAGGTATTCTTCATGTTACTGGGGAACTTAAATAACCAGATATGAAGACACTTTCACTAATTTTGTTTTTGTTGATACATGGCTGTAGAAAGGGAAGAGTTACATTTATTTACATTGATAAATCAGTCTTTCTTTATACTCAGAGAAGACGTAACCAGACTCAGCCATTATTAGTGGGAAGTAAGCAAGCTTAATAAACTGCGTGGAATGCCACGGGAAATGTTGTGTCCTACATTGTGGAGTTCACTCTTTCCAATTTTGTTAAACAGGGAATAAAATACAAAAGATTCTGAAATGAGTAATAGTATTTCCCTGAACTAATTCGCAATTTCTTGACACTGTTGTTCCCACATTGTTCCCCTCTGCCTTTCTGAAGGCCTCATTAGCTGTCTTCAGATCATAACTTTGTTCTGCATTCTGGTGATCAGACACATACTTGGCTTTCTATGTTTACTTTTAGATCAACCACGTTAGTAGCATCTAACACAGTTTCATTGTTTTTCTTTATGGTATTTGTCTCTCGACCCATAACTTGAATCATCAGTATAGACCAGAAGCTGATGTGTCTCATTCAGTTCCACTCTCATGGCAGTATCAATGAAATAAAATATGTTACTAACTGGGCTTAAGAAATTTCACCATTAAAATGCTGTTTGCCATCACTCAGGATTAAATATTTACAGTTCTAGATGAATTATCAAATACAGATTTCTACTGGTTAAAATTTCCTTCAGTTTAAAGTTCACATCCATTTCCCCCCATAAAAGCATATATGTTAAGTCTTTAATGGCTGAAATAAAGGTGCAAATAACGGTCCACTGTTCACTGAACTGGGCTCTATTTATGTATCTACAGGACATGTAACACTTTTAAATATAATTTCAAACATCAATTTGGCCCATGTTTTCTTCTGACAGTCACGTTATGTTTCCATAGATATGTACACATATCGCTATAATTACAATATGGTTCAAGTTCAATGTGTCAACTGTAATCTGTCACATTTACAATGCTGAAATGTCAGGAAATGAACACAATGTAACACCAAAACAACTATTCATCTATCTTCATTAAGTCATTACTTTCACTTGACTTTGCCCTGTGCAGCCACTGCTTCCATTGCTTTCTTCACTGTTTCTGGATCTCCCAGGAACTTCATGGACACAACAGGTTTTAAGTCTGCATCCAGCTCATATACAAATGGGATACCAGTTGGAAGATTCAACCCCATTATAGCTTCATCCGACAGATCTGGGGAATACATATGTAAAAGTATAACAACCATTCAACCCTTTGAAACCTGAAATTTATCTGAATAAAATTAAAAGAATTCAGTTCGCACCTCAGAGAACACATTATTTATCCACTGCAAAGACCAACCAGTTAATGCTGCTTATTCCAAGAGTAACACAAAACACAAAAAGACACTGTGTAAGCAAATACTAAGTTTCTTCATGACAAAGATGGCGTATACATATATAGTAATCAACGTGATTTAAAGGTTTAGCCCTCTCTCAAAGTTCCACCTAACTTCATGGTTAGCTCTGATTTATTTCTATGAAGAATCTTACTTCACTTTTATTCTTGGCCCCTGCAAAACACATGCCTTGATGTTCACTTATTACAGATACAACTGTAATGTTGTAAAGTTAATTCTACTATACAGCAGCATAATATTTCCTTTAATTTTGTTTAGTATTCTCCAATTAAGAAATATTTGAAATAAAGAGTTGTAAATCTTAATTGTATATCATGTACCAGTTTTCTGTACAGTGAGATGCTTAAGAAAATCAACAAATTTTGATTTGGGCCTCGTGAGATAGGCGTCATACTGAACAAATGTGAACCAAAATTAAAGTCAACCAACATCATTCAGTATGTACTGTAAGGTAGAGCTATGGTGGTTCAGACATTATATTCTGTATAAAGAAAATGCCACCGTCAAAATGTACGTTAAGATATCTCAAGTTTGGACTTTTTAAGTTGTGGTTTGACTTATTTCAGGTGCCGAGAGTCACAAAGAACAAATGCATTTGAACTGAATTTAAATCTAACAAATCTAAATAAGAATTCACGTTACACAAAAATCTGAGCAAAATTTACCATCTAGATGTTTGACAATTCCTCGCAGACTGTTGCCATGAGCAGCAATTAAAATCTGTTTTCCTTCCTTTATTTGGGGAACTATCACGTCATTCCAATATGGCAATGTCCGCTGTATTGTGAGCTTGAGGGATTCAAACATAGGGAATTCTTCAAGTTTAGGTTCCTTGGCATATCTTGGATCATTAACAATTTTATCATAATAAGGATGATCCTTTTCCATGGGAGGTGGTGGTACATCAAAACTACGTCGCCATATCTGAACCTGAAATAAATGAAAATCAGAGATAATACAACTAAGAGTTATGTCCCAGTGGAAATAATCTTAAAAACTTTATATCAGTCACATCAACAATACTGACTGGTCCATGTTATCTTCTGTTACATAAAAGATCTGTCATCCAAGTTAATTCAGCATTGCTAACAAACTAGAAACCAAGCTCCAGAGACTCTAATTAGCTAGTCTTACAGATAATATTTCTTACATAAATGAAGAAAATAATTGTAATATTTCACTAAATACTCGTAAGCCTGCCAATAATGTTGTATTACCTATGAATTTTACTGTAATCTTCAATTCACGTGCCCAACAATATGGATGAGTATGTAGTCTTTAGTTATAAACAAGTATGTATCTCATTAACCCATTCATGTTGAAATATGAAATTTTCAAAAGTGTACTTGAAGTATCAAGAACTGTTTCGGAAAAAATCTTGCATAAAACTGGCTATATAGTTGTCATAAATTATCGTCAAAGGCCATCGACAAAATACTATTATGCCATGCCTAATGAAAGCGCCATGCTTTCAACTGGCACAAGAGTATCTATCTTAATTAGGGTCAGAGTTAAAAGCATATTTGTGAACCAGAGCACAGGAACAATCAAGTGAAACTTGAAATTTCAAAATGCAATAACCCTGAAATTAACAGACACAGGAAAGAAAAACTTCATATTTATCACTTTTTCATCAGACTTACAAAATTTCACTGAAATTCAAGGTAGTAATTTCAACTTCTGTGTTGAATCTGTATGATGATAACTTTCATGTAGAACTGGTGGAAGTTCCCAGTTTTCTTTCCACCTTCAGATATTTATCTTGGGAGACAATGAATGCTCGTCATTTCACAGTTGCTTGTTCATTCTGTATATTTAATCACGTCTTAAAATACAAATTCAAAGTGTAGTGCCTGATATTTTTTCATACACTTGGCCCTCAATACTATAACAGATTTTGGGGGACAGCTTCAGTAGCTGTGTTATAAGCTACCTGCAATATATAGGAAAATAACATTTATCTAATTTTGGAGTCACTGATATTGTGTACGTGTATCCAGTGACTAAAGAACGTGAAATCTATGATACACTTCAGACTTTCATTTCACCCATGCTGCTGCCACAGCCCACTAAATTTCTTACATTTATGCCTCTTCATGAACATAGTCATGCTGGATAAACCTGAAACACGCCTATTAATACTGGACTATGGACTTTATCTTTGAACCTGCACACTTCAGCAAGGAATTCTGCAATATTCTTAAAATGTAATCAAAACATTTAATAGAAATTTGTACGAAATAAATCATTTGCAATCCTACTGAGGGGACATGGTCACCACTGCAATATAATGACGTGATATATTGTACATTATTCCCTTTGACACTCGTACTTTACAGCTTGACATGATCCATCATTTTTACATTGTGTGATGCAGCTGTGTTAGCACAGGATCTCGTAACATCATAAATCTGGGAATTACAACTCTGGTTACACAGTAGCGTAGTTGGTTCAGGCACAACGCTACAAGCTGCAAGGTCGCGGGTTCAAGTCCCGATGAGGTCACTGGATCTTCTTCAACTTACCTAATCCTTCCAGCAGCACTATGGCCCTGGGGTCGACTCAGCCTCTAACAGAAATGAGTACCAGGAATCTTCCTGGGGGTAAAGGGCGACCGGTGTGTAGGGCTGACAACCTTCCCGCCATCTATGAGCCAACTGTCTAGAAAATGTGGGAACCTCAACATCTCACAACCCTATGGGCCTCAAAGGCCTGTTACAGGGATACCTTTACTTATGTACTTACTTGCTCATTTTCTACTCTCTTAGCACAGCATTCAAATTCATGTGTAGTTTTAACCCTTCAAATGGGGGAGGAGATCACCTTCCATCAAGGAAATATGATGCCATTCCATTTTGAAATGACCCTGATGTGCAAAACTGAAGCCAATATTATAAAATTATGTGTTGGAGAATGAAAAATGTTCCCCTCAGTATTTTTTTTTTCTTGATTCAGTCTGAATAATTTGAGACTTGCACATTCCCAGTAGTCTGTTTAAAAGACTATACCTGTGCAGTTCAACACACACTGAAATAGACTCTTTATTGGAAAACATGTAACAAAAGTTGAACAGAGGTCATTATACTTCATCTGAAACATATGAGGGTATGTCATACTGTGAGCAGGCAACCTTGTAAAAGAAGCTAAGACCTGTGTATTCAACAAGACATCTGATATATTGAGTTTGGTTCATATCTATGTTGAAAATAGAATCTAGCAACTTTCTAATGAAGTACTGACCTATGTAACTATCTGGTGACAACACATCCTTGAAGATGTTGTAGATGCAGAATACCTTATACTTCTACATAATCCTAGAAACTAACCTGCTCCTCTCCATACTTGGCAGCAGTTTCAGCCTTATTTAATCCAGTAAGTCCACCATAGTGTCGTTCGTTTAGCCTCCATGATTTCTCAACAGGCAGATCAGTTTGTCCAGTTTCTTTCAAAATAGCTTCTAATGTTTTCTGTGCTCTTGTCAACACTGAAGTATGGGCTATATCAAACTTATAATTATCCACTTTCAAGGCTTTTCCTGCAGATACAGCTTCTTCTTTACCTTGAAATAAATCAGGAGCTTTCAGAAAGTGGTTCACAACTATACACAGTCCAGAGTTGAAACCCATTTTAGAGATCTACTCCATCTTCATATTGGGTAAACACTGAGGCCTCCACCTCTAAGGTCAATGAATGACCTATGAAGGACAATTGGCACAGTGTATACTCAACTCACCACCACACAGCTTATTGCTTAACATGGTGAGTTGAGTTGGAGTGATCTACCTGATTCTGTCATGTCTGCATGTACTACCCTCCTGCTGTGTACATGTACTATCACCTGAAGTAGGGTACATCTTCAGTTCTCATGATATCTACACAGTGTTAAAAAAGGGTTACAGGCTTTGAGGGGGGACAGTGCTCAATTAAATGAGCAAGAACCAAAAACCAATACCTGCTGAAATATGGGCTGTGTTCATGTGATTCCTGCAGCAGATGCTTTATGTGGTTCCAATGTATTTCAAACTTTCAGCACTTCATTGCAAATTCTTGATCTCATTTGAATTTCCTGACTCGCTGCTGTAGTACCTCTTGAGTCATTCCATTTGAAGTCATCCAGATAGGTCGCTCAACCATTTTTAAAAATCTCATATTTTGTACACTTATCTATACAAATTTTTAATCTGCTCGGTTCTCCCGGTACAGCTGTTTTTATAATGCCGAAAAGCAAGTTTTCGGCTGAAATGGGGGTTTGCTTTAGCTTCTATATCTCAATAACTATTGATGCTAGACTCTCCAATTAAAAAAAAAAATTTGTTCCTCATGATATGAACCAAAATTTATGTCATTGCAAGTTTTTACTCAAGTCAATTCCTCTAGGTCTAATTAAGCTTGAAACTTACCTCTCGAATTTGGGAAAAAAAGGCTATTTTTGACCTTCAAAAACCAATGGGAGGGGGAAGGTATCAGATCTGTGATTTCTAACCTTTGTTGTTGCCCACATGGGGAATATAATCACTTAGTTTTGAAGGCCATATCTAGTTTCCAAAATTTTCTGGGAGAATCGAAATGATTACGATTTTTTAAACTATTTTTAGAAGTATGAAAATATGTAGAAATAAGTGTACAAAATATAATTTTTTTTAAACATGGTCGAGCAACCTATCTGGATGACTTCACCCGTAAGCCAATTGTTGAGGTATTGTTTTTTTTTTGGTAAAATTCAAAGTGCCAACAACTTCGCTATTAGTAGAATATCAAAGTTGTAATTTCAACTTCAAGTTACTCTAGAACAGAGCATTATTTGCTATGTATTTCAAAATTTTCGGAGCTTTCCTACCAGGGAGATATGAGATGTTAAAAATGGCCGGTTTTGGGCCCAGAGCAAAGTTTGGAAGCTCTTGGAAAATATATACGAGGTTCAAAACTACGTGATTATATTCCCCAAGTAGACAACAACAAAGGGTAGAACCCACAGATCTGATACTTTCCTTATCCCACTGGTTTTTGAAGGTAAAAGTACCTTTTTTCCTCAAAATCGATAGGTATGTTTCAAGCTCAATTAGACCTAGAGGAAGTGAGTTGAGTAAAAACTTGTAATGACATAAATTGGAATCCATACCGTGAGGAACATTTTTTTTATTGGAGTCTCTAGCAGCAATAGTTATCGAGATATAATAGATAACGCAAACCTTCATTTCAGATGAAAACGCGTTTTTTCGCATTATAAAACGGCTGTACCGGGAGAACTGAGTAGATTAATTTTTTTTAGAAATATTTTTGAAGTATGAAAATATTTAGAAATACGTGTACAAAATATATTTTTTTTAGAAAAATGGTCAAGCGACCTCTCTGGATGAATTCACATGGAATGACCCTCTTATCTCCTTGATTGATGCTGAATACACAGGAAGTCTTTAGGTGTTGCCACAGCCAATAATCAAGAGTATTTAGGTCAGGGAATCATGCAGGCCAGTTGACTGGGCGTCCATGTCCTGCCCAGTGTTCAAAAGTCTCGTTCAGATGCTGTCTGACAACAAGGAGAAATTAAGGTGGTGTCCCATCATGCATGAACCACGTGTATTGTTGATGATGAAGAGGCATATGTTCCAAGAATACTGGTAAATCATTCAGTAAAAACAATGGTACTCGTACACTACACCTATTAGACTGTTAAGTAAAACAACTGCTCACCCAAACATGGGTATTATGAAAGTCCACAATACTGTCCCTTGTGAATCCATCTCATCAGTAAACAGGATGTTAGTTACACACTGTGTGTTTACAATGCATTTTGTGAGAAGGCACTGGCCAATCACGACCCTCCATGATGGTCAGGAGGAGTGAGGGCTGCACTTGCTGGATGTGGTATTGTTAAAGTGATTGTTTGTTAAGAATTCTCCAGACAAGGGGAACACCTTCAGGAGCTGTGATTATTCACATACTGGTTCCAGGATCTTCTTAATATGCGAGCTTCTGTATCATGAGTTGAAACTGATTGAGGCCTTCTACAATCTGACACCCGTGGAGCAAAGGACCCAGAATCACTGTTTCTGGTAAAGTTTGGTGAATAATTTCATGGATGGGATTCTGTGCTATTCTGTCTAAGAGGTGATATCCTTCCTGAGAATGTCCACTGGTATGGCCATATGTGAAATGCATGTCTGCCATTTCCCGAGCAGAGTAATAATATTGCATTACAAAACCACTAAACAGATCTCATATTGAGTATTACAATACAATCATTGCTTCTTCCTGAGTAGTACATAAGTAGTGCATCTACTGAGTGTAGTGTGGCAGTCACAACACACGTAAAGGAAAGGCAAACAAATGTATATGATGTGCAGTGACCTTCACTTAATACATACTGCACTTTTATCCTCATATCCAGTCAAATGCAAAACTCACCCATGTCTCAGCAGGCAATGACTTCTCATAAATGTTGACTGAGACACTTTTGTCATTTTAAGTGAGTGCTATACCCCGTTAAAGCCTGTAGCCATTTTCTTTCTAACACTCTGTATATGCTACTGCAGATCTATCCAGTTCTGTTTTACTTCTCTTGTGGTCCTAGCATGGCTTACTAGAGTATGCTGTGAGTGAGTACCATACATAACCTAGTATCGGTTCTACTGAAATCACAGATATTAATGGCCTCCTTCACTAGGTGGTCCTTGAAAACTCTTTACCCTAGCTAGTATAGTTATTTCCTCATTATTCATTCTGTGGCTAATTTCTGTACTATGCATTGCTACCAGCAGATATCATGAGTATCTTTGTTGGATATGAGGCTCTCAGAACAAAGAGTATGAAAAGTTATATCTTCTGGGATGCAATGTCATGCAGTCTGCTCTGCTTTCTGCTGGTTTCTTGCTCATCTTACTCCCTGACCCTGAAGATGGAGGCAATATGATCGTCCAAAATGTCAGCTATAACAAGACTATATGGTGTTATATCCCAGAAGACAAAACTTTTTCAGATATATCTGATTGGTTGAGGCAGGCATGATGTGCATGTTCTTTGTACCTTTGTAATTTCTGGGTCTTCAAGGGAATACAAAGAATATGGATGGTTATATTTAGGCTTTAACTGCTTTTCAGGTTAATATAAAATGGAAATATCATTCTTTATGGCTGAAACAATGAGTCTGCCTACAGAAACTAATTTCTGGGAACTTCAGTCGCAGGTTTAATCCTTATGAAAATAAGAAACATTTACATGGGTGCTACAGGATTTTTGAGAAGGGAAGGCAGTCAGAATATGTATTTACAAATCTATGTTTCAACTATTTAAGAGCAGTTTTACACATCGTCAGTGGTGATTCAGGGCAGAAGAATATTTCTTTAACTTTAATATTTAGCATTAATACATTGTAAATTTCTTTCTTTCTCCAAAATATTAGAAAGGTGGAAGGGAGGGCAGATGCCTGGCTTAACTCCCCTTGCCAGCACTCCTAGTCACTTCCCTCCCTCTTCCACCTTTCTTTCCTTCCCCATGGTCCTTTTACTATCCTTGATCCTTAGCATTCCACTTATGCTCCACTTAAAACTGTGCCATTCTTAGAAGAGCAAAATCTTGATATTTACTCCCATGATAAGCTCAAATCTTGTATGTTTTCTTCCAGTATTGTTGATTATTATATGTGCATACATAGTGTTGGGGCACGTGGTAGCGTAGTTGGTTGAGGCACTATGCTACAAACCAGAAGGTTGTGGGATCGAATCCTGATGAGGTGGATTTTTTCAATTTACCTAATCCATCCAGCTGCAATATTGCCCTGGGGTCGACTCAGCCTCAAACAGAAATGAGTACCAGGAATATTCCTGGGGGTAAAGGTCGGCCGGCGCGTAAGGCTGACAACCTCACCGCCATCTGTGAGCCAACTGTCTAGAAAATGTGGGAGCCTCAACATCTCATGACCCTATGGGCCTCTTACTTACTTTTTACACATAGTGTTGGCCAAGTGGACAGAGAAGANTGGCCTGTTACAGGTATATCTTTACTTACTTACTTTTTACACATAGTGTTGGCCAAGTGGACAGAGAAGATGCAAGAATCACAGGGTAGACATGTGTATGAGAACATCTATAATAGAGGCCGTTAATTATCAAGCTGCTGTATCTGATACTTTGAATGAAACAACATAATGTGATTCTGAAGTGGAAATACTGGCACTACATCTTCAGCCAGTAAATGAATGTGTATCAGAACAATGCTACTTATTCATTTAATCACATTATGCACAAATGCAGACTTAACATACATTTCTTTCCAGACACATACACCTATACAGGCAAATTTATGATGTTGGAAAAAGTTAGCAATTAAAATATATATATATAATACTGTATGTTGTTACTGTCATGTACAGCATCTAAAAATAATCTATCATAAAATAATTTACAACCTATGTGACATTCTCAAGAAACCTGCTGATTACGACACTATATCGCCTGCTTAATTTATGAAATGTAAATAATTATGAACAGTGTTCATTTCAAGGTATTAGAAAACTTTGTAAAGTGCTTCATGCTGGCCTGGGTTTGAACTGGGATACTCCTCAGATTCAAATCCTGAATGTAATCATCATCTTTAATGAGTAAGAGGGCTATATGTATGGAATACAGAAACATTTTGATAATGCATTTCTTTTACCGTACACGATCAACAATGCAAATGTATAACAGCGACTTTAACATCATTGAAATATTCCTATAATTACAAATTGCACACTTCAAAGAATAACACAAAATAAAAAAGTTAGTTTAGGGAGTAAACACAGAGAAAACTAAGTATATGTTGCTGTCTCATCACTAAAATGCAGGGCAAAATCATGACATAAAGATAGGAAACAGATGTTTTGACAATGTGGCACAGTTCAGATATTTGGGAACAAGGATAACAAACCAAAACTTGATTTATGATGTTATGCCGCAAATTTTGAGACTGGAAATCAAAAGCATTGCCTAAACATTATGAGAGCGTTTCACAGTAAGTAGAGCAGTGATGGCCACACACAGTCAACAAACAACGTAGTCAGCGAAGATGTGTAATCGCTCCACTTTGTAAGTGGTGTTGGTAAACCACTGGAGTCCCACGAAATTACAAAATGCAAAGAGGGAGGCGCCGCAGACTGCCTGCGAAGAACTGAGTTCAACCAATGGGGGGACCCACCACCCCGCAATTGAGGACGAAGGGAGGAGATAACCCCCCTCTCCGTTGTTAGCTGCTACGACAGCAATTTTAATAATATAAAAATGAGGAAAAAAACTCAATCTAAAAACGTAACAATTAGCCGGAGGTTATGTCCGACATGGGTACTACAAGTGGTGGTGTCGCTGCATCTCTATTTCAAGTAAGTCATGTTTGCTCATACTAGCCATGCTGTTAAACTTTATGGTTGTTGGTAAATTGTTGTTTGTTAAATGGGAAAAGCAGCCCAGCGAGTTTTCAGGGTAATATTGTAAATAGGATATAAATTAAAGTGTGAATAGACCAGTGTACCTAGGGTAGGACAGAGATGGTGTGTCGAGGAATAGTAATGAAGGTAGAGACAGTCTCAAGCCATCTGCTCTAGGCGAGAGATTAGGACAAAGTTCAGAACTATCACGCACCGATACCATGTGTAAACCAACAGACGTCAGCATTCTCGTATTGTAAATAAGAGTATAAATAGACAGTGTGATTAGAGTAGGATGTACCAGGATTGTGATTTACTTCCCCGAACCAACCCGTCCAAGACCGATCCAGAGCAATCCTGGCCCAGCGAAGGCAGAACTGACCCAGGCAGCCGGATGCAACTAGCAGTAAGGGTTATGAGAGTCCTAGTTAAGGGTGAGAGACTAGTAGTCGAGACAAGGGGATGCGTTCCTGATGGAACACGGAAGAGTAATTTAGACATTTTATTAGCCCCCTTCAGGCATAACAAAGTGATGGCAGAGGCAGGGGATCGGCCAACAAGAGGTGGCTGACAGAGAGAATTAGTAATTGTGCTTTATTCACCCTTGCCACCGAAGTATTACTTATGGCAACGGCAGTGGGCCGAGTCAACGAAGGGTTGACTGACGTAGCAAAGGGACTAGCCAAAGAGAAATGGCAGACAAAGTGATTTAGTGTGTTTTAACCCACCCCCGTCACTAAGACATAATAATGGTGACAGCAGTGATATCCAATCCACCCGTCGCAGAGATGTACTATATGGTGTGACAGTTGGTGGATAGAGGCGGGTCAGACCCAACACGCCCGCTCTACGCCATTACGAAGTGGTGACAGTGATGGAGGGGCCAGCCAACAAAGAACGCTCGACTACCGCACTACTAGTCCTTAGTATTTTCATCACCCATTTTAAGGTGTAATATATGGTGGCAGCTGTATGCAACGAAGAAGGTCCAGAGCCAGGAGAATCCTAACTGAGAGTAAATTAGTATTATACTCATCAACCCTCCCTCCCCCCTACAGCATAATATGTGGTGGCAAGGAGGGATACCTACACGCCCCCCTGTCACCACGGCGTAATATATGAGGAAATTAAGAAGAGATTGAACTCGGGTAATGCTTGCTATGATTCAGTCCAGAACCTTCTGTCTTCTTGTCTGCTGTTCAAAAACAAAAATTAGAATATACAAAACCATAATTTTTTCTGTAGTTCTGCATGAGTGTGAAACTTGGTTTCTGACATTAAGGGAGGTACACAGACTGAGGGTGTTTAGGAGAATATTTTGACCAAAGAGAGATGAAGTCACAGGTGGTTGGAGAAAACTGCGTAATGAGGAGCTGCATAACTTGTACTCTTCTCCAAGTATAATTAGAATGATCAAGTTAAGGAGGATGAAGTGGGTATGGCATGTAGGATGAATGGGGCTAATAAGGAATGCATATAGGATATTTGTGGGAAAGCCAGAAGGAAAGAGGCCACTGGGATGACCAAGACATAGGCGGGTGGACAATATTTAAATTGATCTTAGAGAGAGATAGGATGGGATGGTATGGATTGGATATATCTGGCTCAGGATAGGGACCAGTGGAGGGCTCTTGTAAACACGGTAATGAACTTTCGGGTTCCATAAAATGCTGGAAAATTCTTGAGTAGCTGCAAAATTGGCGGCTCCTCCAGAAGGCCTCGGTTCCAAGAGAAGTAAGTTTATTTAACAATGCAGTAACTCAAAACACATGCCACTGGCTGGGTAACGATGAATGTTGAACTGGAGAGGATGTGGAAGAAACGGGTCGTAATCTAATTTCTGGTACTATCATGGGCGAAGTGCGGAAAACAACGAAAAATATAGGCCATTGCAATAGCTGTGCGGTCGGGTTTCGAACTGGGTACCTACCAGGTTAGAAGCACTAACTCTTGAACCAAATTCTTGTGTACGAAATAACTTCAGACAACTTACTCTTGCGCAACGATTAATAACATTACCTTTGTTACTCAAATCGGCATCAAACCATCCGCAGAACAGGTTCAATTTATTCCATTCACTCTCTCCGTGTCTCACCATAACAATCTTGTATTTGGACATCTTACTTTCAGATTTCAATTTGATTTAACAACACCGGTAAACACCTTTCTACCTCCCGCTTTCACTGGTCGTACGACCTATGTGACCGATCTGACTTTGACACAAGGTCACGTCATGCGTGTGTGTTCTAGAATTCTGTGCAAAAAATAAAATGTTCTTAGGTAATTATCGGGTATTATGTGTCAGATTTTTACAAAGTGCTGTAACGTAAGCATATAGTTAAAAGTTATTATACTGTCATAGTGTGACTAACATTATTCAAAACATCAGTGTTATAACGCGTGTAAATTGTAATCTTAATTTTGCACCCACGAAATATTGTCACTGCAACACTCGCAGATCGTAACTCAAACAGAACGGTGTCAGATTCTGTGGTATCAGACAAGTGACAATAATTCCGGTTCCTGTAGAATGTTATTCAGTTGTTGAATATAGTTCTTTTTTTTTTTTTTTTTTTTTNAGGGAATTAATATAACCATATTCAGGAAGAGAATGTATTAGCATGTAGTTATTGTATTCGATGTATTCGATAGTGTGTAATATATAATATACAATGTTTCATGCAGGTATAAAACCTGAAGATGCAGGGTTAATCGTATCTTGTTCCTGGGATGTAGCAAATGAGAAATGTCTACACGATACGGTCACGTTGGACACAAGTTTTAAAAGAGGAAAGAAGTAAGAGAAATATAGTTACTATATGAAAGTTTTGCAATGTTCGTTTTTTATTTCTTTTAAAATCTTTTGCAAAAAGTAAACCGTATTAGTAAATAATAAACTGGTGTTCACTTAACATTTTGAATTTGAAGCTGTGAGGTATTTCTCTAAGGTCATTGACATTTAATTAGAGATCAGTCTTGCTCACAGTAGCTGAAATTTAATGGATGGTTTCAGAGTAAACAGCATGGTATTATGCCCAGGAAATGGCGTGGGGGATGTACATAAAAAGATGATAATTGAATTGATTCTTGTTTATTTATTTAGTCTCTATAGATCATTGTTACATGATTTAGGGCAAGTCAGTTACTGTACATTGGCTGGTTACAATAAGAGAATAAAGTTACAATACTTACAATTGTTTACAATAGATTACAGTAGATTACAATAATTAAGAGTTCATATAGTGTGAGGTGGAATCCATATTAGGTCCCCTCAGCACGTCAGCTTCCGTATGTCCTATTGTACCTGTACTGGTGGTAATGCTTATGGAGAATTTGATGGAATGAGGATTGGCAGGGGAAACCGAAGTTCTCGGGGAAAACCTGCACCAGCACCACTTTGGCCATCACAAATCCCACTTGACTAGACTGCAGCAGTGGGAAGCCAGTGAGTAACTGCTTAAGCTATGGCGTGGCCTTTGAGATAATATTGGTGAATTTGGTGATAGCACTGTATAACATTTCATTGTAGACTCTAAACTGCAACATCTCATTACATCTGTTCTCCCTTCCTGGTGCAGCTTCTTGGTATCTGCAATCTTTCCAGAGTAGCTCATTCAGGTACATCTCCGACTGTGTTATCTTGGTTGCTGGAAAAAAGAAAGGAAAACCGCGCAGTAGGGATTCCCAAAACCGATTATTCATGAATTATGTGATTATAATTGATTAGTGTTTGTCTCACACGAGAGAAACTCATCCACTTTATAAAAACAATGATCGAGTAGGTAAGTTTTCAAAGCATTTTTGAACTTGTATAGTACCGGTATTTCTTTAATATATGGTGGCAGATGATTTAGCAGTCGAAGTCCTGCATTGTTAAAGTTGTTCTTGCATAAACTTGTATTACATGGGACAATGTGCAAGTTGTCTTTCTTCCTTATGTTGTATGAGTGTAATCCTGAGTTGGTTGTGAAATCATTCGAATTGGATTTTATGTATATTAAGAGTTTTGTATATGTACAAAGATGGTAGAAGTAATATATATAATCATTTGAAAATTTGTTTACAACTAGTTATTTTTGGGACCTCAGTCATAGCTCATATAGCTCTATTCTGTAATTTAAAGATCAATTTTGCATTTACTGAGTTGCCCCAAAATATCAGTCCGTTTGATAACAAATATTGGAAATGAGCATAATATAATGTGCGGATATCTCTAGTCCAGTCATTCTTCTAACTACCCTTAGGCCAAAACATACTTTACATAAGTTGTTCGCTAGCTTTTGCGTATGCATAGTCCATCTTAGATGCTTATCTAGCCAGACTCCCAGAAATTTTGAGTGATCTGTGTAGTTTATAACAGTGTCATAAATCTTTATTGGAGGGCATTCAAGTTGTAGTTCTTGAGGATGATGAAAGGCTATTGCTGTAGTTTTCTCTTTATTAACCCTTCAGTGCGGGCATTTAAATATCGCTGTTGTGGGGCCTCCTGTGGTAGTATTTTTTAATTGCCCATTTAAATTTTGCTCTAAATTATATTATATATCATAACTTTTGAACTATATGAGGTATAATTATGAATTTTTCACTGAAATCATCTTAAAAGATTGTTTTATAATCTTACCTTATAATATGAGCGCCCTGTATCTGAGCGATGGAAGCAAGTGGATTAGAAGTTGTGTTTCGTATGGTATTTCTTGAAACATCCATCTAAACACAACACTGCCTCACATCACTACACCAGAAATAAATTCTTACATTTTACCATGTTTTGCGCACACCACGCATCTTTTTTGAGGCTTTGCTTTTTTCTTTTGCCTGGAATACGTTCCAGGAAATGTTCTATGAATCTTTTAGGTGGTGGCTCAACTGATGGACGGCCGTATACAGGATGAGGAAAACCAGAACCATGATTTTCCACGAGGCCTTGTGCTAGTGAAATTCTGAACTTTAGCCTGCCCATGTTTTTGTTATTCTGGAGACACCGATATAGGAACATTGCGTTATGTATTGCTATATTGAGTAGCCTCTTGAATAACTTCTGATACCACTTAGTACTCTTCTTTCGTTCAAGTAAGTACGGCTGTAGCATTTGATCTGTCAGATCCACTCCTAACATGTTTCTGTTGTAATCACAAACAACCGAGGGCTTTGTTTCATGTTTGCTTTATTCACAACCACACGCACATCATCTTTGTGTTATGTTGATATCATAGTCACTTGGCCATCGCAACTGTGAGGTCAGCTTTGTATTTAGACTGACTAGCAGAGCTGCAGGAAATTGAATGTTATGTTTACACGAACAGAGAGTGCATTCTTTTCACAACAGCCCAGTGCAATCATCATCATGCTGGCCTGGTTCATTCCATATTTATGGGCCTTTGAAATTAAGCTTACAGCTTGGCGTATGGTGTACGGCAAACCGCAGGTAGGACCATTTAAATACCAGTGTACCATGTATGGCAAACCACGCTGAAGGGTTAATAGTTAATCGATTCCTCTCAAACTACTCTGTGATTTTGTTCATTATTTCATTCGTTTTCCTTTGAATTTCGTTAGTGCTATTTCCTGCTATAAAAATGTAAGTATCATCGGCAAAGAACGTAGGTTTCCCATGTTCTGTGCTGGCCTCCAAGTCATTTATGTATATGTTTTGTGTGATCTCTTGTTTTTTGACTAGATGTCATGTTAAATTTTGTATTGTATAATCTTACAGGGAAGACCTCGCCCATATAGTAAGCTTGGACACCTGTGTCAACTTGATAAATCATAATGTTGCATCTGGTTACTTGAAGCTGAAACTCACTGTATTAAAGACATGGCAAATAAAGAAGATATCTGTTGTATCTGAGGTGAGAGTATTGAAATATTTTTACAGTGCTTTAATATCTGTCAGTACTCAGTGATATTTAGTATCTTTGTAAATATAAGATATGAATGTGTACTGAAATCGTTATCCAGTTTTCAGTTTTTTATTATTCCATGTACCCAGGAAGTTAAGATTAAAATTTTTATAGGTGTTTGGCTTGTTGAAGGTGTATTTTCAAATTCATAATTCCTAAATCAAGCAGAATGGTTCAAGTGGTAATGCTTTAGATTTGTATGGAAGAAGTGCCTGGTTCGAATCTTAACCGAGACATTAACAATTGTGAGTAAGGTTTTTCATGGTTTTTATTCCAGTCCTTCCAGGCAAATGCTGGTATAGTGCTTTAAATTAGGCCACAACTGCACCCTTTAACATCCTTTCAGGTTCAATCGGTCATTCAGTTCCGTATAATCTGAGTTACACCATTGTTCAATAAATACAAATATATTGAGTCTCATATGCTTAGAAATATTTTCCTGACATTAACAATTAGAGTGAACTGTAATAGCAATGAGAAGTGCTCTTTTATCCTCAAAAGATTGTTTGCTGGTATGCATACCAGCACATCTCAGCTGAAAGAAGTTTTGGTGATTACTATCTATTCAAGTAAATTGAAATATTAGTATGTCATTATGTAATTTTTTTTCATTCTGGTATTATTTCATCTTTTGTAAAAGTATTCTTCAATGAGTTTGTTTTTAAAGAAGAATTTGCTCTTTCAAAATATTCTGCAACCATACAAAGTAACAGGTAAAATTACAGTTTCATATAATTTAATGCATACTATTTTTGAAAAGCAATGATATGAAGCAATATTAGTTTTGCAAAATGAGAGGAATTCACTGAATTTATTCTGGATTGTTAAAAGGATGAAAATATAAGATTAGATGCTGTGGTTGAGTAGCTAGCACTTAAGCTTGCATTCAGGAAGTTCAGATTTCTTAATGCCAGGGCCAAGGCCTTCATGATAGATCTTTTTGAATGTTTTTCTTAATGCTTCCATCCAAATACCACAATAGAACCATAAAGTAGGCCACGATTACTTCATTTCACACTAGTTCTCACTTGCTTTCATCCTACATTTGCCACCACATAATACAGTGCGTACAATCAAGTGCGCGCCGCGGCTGCAATTTGCCGTGAGTCATACCACCGCAGAACGGATGCAACTCCTCCCCGCGACTGCAGTGCTCCTACGCCGATGGTTGCATAATCGGAACCCGAGGTTGCATTAAACAGTCAGTCTTTGTCTTGCTGTGGAAGTGGAGTGGAATGTTTACAGCTGTCGACAGACGGTGGAAATGAAGTTCACTATTAAACAGCATGTGTTTATTGTCGAAACTATTGCAAGGAAAAACATTTACAGAAAATTCGCACGTAGGTTTTGTCAGAAATATCCTGACTCGCCAGTTCCCACAAAGTCGTGTGTAAACAGGCTTCTGAAAAAGTGGCGGGCCACAGGTTCAGTGAGTGACAAGAAGAAGCAATCGAAGAGAACTGTGCTGACTGAAGAAAAGGT